CAGTACCTTTGCACAATGACTGAATGAATGAAAGAACAATGGGCTCTGAGGTCAGTTTCTTGATCATTAATATTCAAATTGTCATGACCTTTGATCAGCAACCACTAATCAAAGATCATTGAGTGGGTGAAACTGATAATAAGGAAGATGTTATAGTCTCTTCACAAGAAATTTATGATGCAATTAGAACATTAAAAGGCAATAAGGCTTGGGGATGGATAAGATATCTGCTGAACATTTAAAATTTGCCAGTAGAAAACTTTGTTTTACTGGTTCTTAGTACATGGAATTCTGCCCGATTCAATTCTATCGCCTATGTTAGTGCCCAAGGTAAAAGAAAAAACTGGCAAAATAAACAACAGGGATAATTATTGGCCTATAACACTATCTAGTATTTTGTCAAAGGTCTTTTAAAGGACTATTTTAAACAGAATAGAACATTTTGTCTTAACCTCTGATAACCAGTTCAGTTTTAAATCTAAGCAGACGTGTATTTTTGCCTTGAAGGAGATTGGGGATTTGTATAACAGGCGCAATGCCACAATTTTTATGTGTTTTATTGACGCCTCTTAAAGCATCTAATCATGTAAATTGTGAAAAGTTATTGTATAAGTTATACAACTGAAGGGTTCCTAAATCTTTGGTAAGAATTTTGTCCTTTTGGTATGCTAGCCAAATGTTTGTTAGTGTTGATGTACCCACTCGTCATGCTATATTGTACATATATCTCATGTACACTTGTAAATATAATTTTACCTCTGACTGATCCTGCATTAAGTACAGTTACATTTTATTCAAAGTTGTGTAATTATTGGTGTTTTAGCCTTCATGTAAATTTGTGACGCCCTGCATTTTATTTTTTCTTTCTCTTCTTATTTTCAAGAAATCCCCTGACCTCCATTTAGTCTTTACATTCATAGATTTGTCAGTCTTTCCATAAATATTATGGCCACATCCATCTAATACGCTTGGGTTAAGTTTCCTTAACAATAATTTATTAATCCTTTATTTATCCAGGTAAAAAATCTCATTGAGATTAAAAATCTCATTTCCAAGAGAGACCTGGCACCATGGCAACAATAATAATAATCTCTATAAATGGATATCTGCATATGAATATGGCAAACCTGCAGACAAGAGGTAGGATCTATAGTGCTGGGATCATTCTAGTTTGCATTTATAGTCAACTTGTAGTCAGACTTCTAGTTACCAATCAAGTTTTGGCTAATGTAATGTATTTGTATTTATATAGTGTTTTTCTTGTCTTATTCACCTCTACAAATCCGTATTGAATAAAGGCTCTTTGAAGAAAGAATACGCAGAGCAGAGGGTCTCAGATTGGAGTCGAACCCAAGCCACTGCATTTTTTTCTGCAACACATGGTCACCTGAGCAGTCACATTTTTAACCATACACTGCTTTATTCTATACACCGCTATACACTACTGTCACGTGACCCAACCGACTTCAAGTGTTTTATCTAGCTCACATCTCTGACCGATTTAGAATCACTTAATCTAACATGAATGTGTTTGGGACTGTGGGAGGAAATCAGAACACCCAGAGGAAACCCACACAGGCACAGTGAGAACCAACAATGTCCACACATATAGCCCACAGCTGGTTGGCCTTCTTGCTGTGAGGCAACACAGGTAATCACCACAAAACCGCAGCATTTGAGAGTGAGAATAAGATTGCCTTTTGGCAAATGCAATCCCTTTTTTGGTTTACACAGCAGGCAACAAAAGCAATCTAGGAAAGCAATCTTGAAACCATCATCTAATGACTCTTATCAAAGTTGTTTATTTGCTTTGTTAAATTTATATTTATTTGAAAATACTGACTAAAGTAGCTATCTGGCCGGGGGCAGTGTGGAGTGCAAAGTTTGCATGTTTGGGTACTCCAGCTTTCTCCTACAGTCTAAAGATTTGGAGATAAATTATCTGAATTTCAGGAGCGGGGACATGTCTCCAAACAGCAAGTAACTAAACTCAGAATCGCTAACAGACAAAAAACTTGACAAGAAAGCACAGTGGATATCATCAAATTAACACCAAAAACAGAACCCAGAAAGCTAAAACTAAGGAGGGCTGAAATTTAAATGCTAAGCACAGAGTAAAAGCCAAACAACAAAAAACAAATGATAAAACACTAAGACATTAGAACTATGCAGAGAACCCAAAACTGGAACTCAGACCTCAGACTCAGAATCAAAACCCCCCAATAGTCCAAACACAGAAACGCTGGGGCAACGACCCAGGACCACGACACAGTGCTCTGGCTGTGAGCCTTGCAAAAGTGTCTGAAGTTTTAGCAAAATAATTTTTTTATGATTTAACAAATAAACAATACTGTATTTCTCACCACACAGAATCAAAGTAATTGACCACCACTCATCTGTAATGTATACTAAACTGTTTACTTGTGATTTCTGATGTCCAAATTATTTTTTACCAGGATGTCTTTGGCAGAGATGGGCAGTAACGCGTTACTGTAATCTGATTACTTTTTTCATCCCCCTCCTCATTTCCCCAGTAGAGCTTGGCTTGTGTTTTCACCCCTTTTAATCTCAGGCATTTACAAGCACCCCTCTAAACAACCTACCAGGTGTGTTAAGCCTCCTGCTGAAGGGCTGTAGAATGTTGAGACTCCAATATGATTAGTGCAAAATGGGCCGTGAATAGAAGAATGAAAGCTTTTATAATGTGAAAGACTGTTAGCACAGTGATGTGCTGGTCTGAGCTCCCATGACCAATCTACAAATGAGCATTCAGTGAGCGTGCCCTGTGTCACAAGTGTGATGGAGACACTGAGGCAAGAATTTCTCATATTTGTCAGTAACATGAGCTAAGTGCTTTGGTCAAGTTTTGATTTTATTGTATGAATTCAATATGCCAAGAACATTTGTACACTGTCTTCTGGTTGATAGAAATTCATGGGGCTGGACAATAGTAAGTGAGGATTTTATAGTAAGATGTTTATTTTATGTCTGTGAAGGTTCTCAGTCGTCCTTAGTCTAAGGAGCTTTTCGTGAAATCTGTTTACCTGCTCTCATTTGCTGTTTTAGCTCTTTGGCGGTTGTTGAAATAGTTTTGTGAGCTTTAGACTGAGATTCTGACCTTTATGACAAAATGCATCTATACTTAAAAATTGATTCAGTCCCTACTCCTGAGTGCCAGTGATTCTTCTCCAAAATGGTGCAGCTCAGTTGGTATTTACAATTTGTAAATCATTCCATAATCCAATTTGTCTGCTGCTCAGCCACTCCCTTAAATAATGGCTCTTGACAGGGTCATTGCAGGCAGGTGTGTGATTGCCAGCAGGTGTATGTAACAAAAATTTCAAAAAGTTCCGCCACTGCACAAAAACTAGCACACACAGACACACATGCACACACACAAACCAGGATAGCAGAGGAACGAGGTGGAGAGACAGTGTTTTCTTGTCTTCCACAGCATGTCTTTGTCCTGTCTTCATCCTTATCTTACCTTGCAATATAAAGTATCTTGATGCAACAATGTATATAAATAAAACTGAACTGAATTGTTTGCTTTAGGATTTCATTGTTGCTAGGGGTTCTGAAGAAACACTGTAGCCCTGTTGGCTTATCAAGTCACAGTGTAGTCAGATGTTGTTAACCTCATTATCAAGTAAATTTCATGACACACACACACAAAACACAACAAGACTGCTGATTTGTTTATTTGCATTTTTTTCTCTTCCAGGTGCTGTTTGTTTATTTTATGTTTTTTCGCACAGGGTCAGAGGTTGGTGACCCGTTGTGCTTTTTTTCTTATGGTATTTCTTCTTTTTTCATCCACTTTCTTTTTTCTTTCTGTCTTTTTTCAGCTCTGACATTGTTATTTTCCACATGCATCAATGTAAATAATAATAACATAAATAATACATAAATAGATAAATAAAAGAAAAACAAAAGCAAGGAGAGTTTATAGAGTGTTTCTTGGAAAAACGTGTTTGGCACAACAGTGCATTCGGATCATAAGTCTAAATGCAAAAGCTGCAAGAGGCTTTAAAAAAGGCTCAATCATGTTGATTATGTTGTTTTTTCCAAACTAAGTTAAAGAACAATTTGTACCAAAGCAGATGAGAGGATATTTTTCTCTGTCTCTTAACAATATAAACACAGCTCATTTTACTTTAATTATAGCTGTCACCAAAATGTAAATGTAATGGTGAAACAGAATTTACAACCCAACAAAAGTTGATTTATAATCACTTTATAACAATGTTCTAACTGAATATAGTCTGCTGTCGGCCATTGACGGTAACATGCCTTTGATTTGCTCTCTATAGCGCTCCTGTACTGTAAACAAACAACCATGATTGTTGGACCAGAATAGGAAACTGAGATGTTACATGAGCTCCTGGCTTGCAACTAACATACACCAGCAGACATTCAGCTCAGAAAGGTAAAATTAGCTAATATTCTCTAACAATCTAGTCCAAAAAGGTAACATTTTTAGGCTGTTTAGAGAACAAACCAACACTTTTTTCTTCTTTTTTCTTTTTTGTTACTTCACAGCAATGGCCTGCATTAACAGAACAATCTGCATTTTTCCTGGCTAATGCTTACAGGTAAAATGTGTTCCGAAACTGAATAACAGATATGCCTCTTCATCTCCTTTTTTGTGGGGACATCTTATTTATCAATTACAAGCCACTGTGTAGATGTTGGCGCAGGCGTGAGTGCATTAGTAATACCCTGACATCAAGAACACTGGACTTGAGTTGTAACCTCTACTGGCTCCAGCAGAGAAACTGGAATATAACATTTGAAAAGTTTTATTTTTAGAGGTCCTGTGATGAAATTTATGGGTGTTTGAGCACTCCCATAAAGGGTGTAAACTCTCCAATGAGGCAGAGAGATGGGCTGAGGGTTGAACTTGTCCGCGCGCACACGTTCGTGCACAAGTGTGTGCGTTTTTGTTTGTGGAATCGGTATAAAACCCTACGAGGACGAAGAGCCACCGAGCAGGTCGCTGGACTTCCCTATTTCTCCTGAAGAAATCTCTGCTGGACAACAGGAATTTTGTTGGGACAACTATGATGTTTCCCTGCGCTGCTCTGTCGCCTACTCTTTACCCGGGTTTCCTGCGTGTCCCTGCTACTCTCTCCGCGTCACTGAGCGAATCGGCGGCTCAGGGAAGAGGAACCGGCTTTCTGGTAGAAGATCACATAAGCCAACATGTCGGCTACATACATCGAACTTTCTCGTCCCTTAGTTCCGGAGACATTCTGCCGTTCAGTGCGGGGTCAAGGTCCTTTCCACGTACAACAGAACCAAGCACGGAGACATCCGGTCAACTCAGCCGCAGCAGCCCCGGATCTGTGTACGCAGCCAGCCCGGACTACCTGAAGTTCGGCGTCGGTACGATCCTGGCACCTTCTACATGGAGTCGTGAGTTTCTGATACCGATCTCTTTCTCTGCCCCTCTCTCCATAAATTTAACATATATATTTACACACACACACACACACACACACACACACACACACACACACACACACACACACACACACACACACACACACAGCGATCTGTATTGACTTATCGGAGACTTGAAAAGTGCTGTTAGTGAATGAATTAGCATAAAAATATTGTTTATTATTATTGTCTTATGATTTTTTTTAATTTCTACAAACAATTAGCAGTGTATTTCACTACCACGTAATTAAAAGTTTAAAAAAAATGGTGAAAGTAGCGGTGACGAATTCAGGCCTTCATTCAAAAGTAAAAGCAAAGTTTTTAACTTTTAACCAATTTAATAAAAGTTAAGCAATGGACACGTGAACACCAATCGTCCAATACAGTCGTCTGATGAGGTTAGATCTGAGCTGCTCTTTCAGTGGCACTGCTATTAACAGTCATCTGTGTATATATATCTCTTATCATGTTAAAATCCTAATCTGCCTGTGGATGCGAATCTGTTTTCTGTTTCCAGTCCAGAATCTTCAGACAAAGTCGCTCTCTCTGCCTTTTTTAGACAGAAGCCTTTATCCTTACATCAGAGCCTCTGATTTCACAGGTAGGTGGACTAGGAATGTTTATGTTGTCTTTTTAAACAAAGGATTTTTGATTTTGATTTTTGCAGCTTGTAAACTACTATATAATGTGTGTGATTTGAAGATATAAGGGAGAAAACATGACTTTGACTCTTGACTCATAATCACATTTACTTTCTGATGGGCTCTAACTAAAGGATACTTGATGTCCACTTAAAGTGTTTTGATTGTTCAGTGAGAAAAGAAATGCATTCACTTTGTTACCATATTCACACGCACATCATATGGCTACAAACAGACACTAAATGAAATGAAATGCCTGGAAAATAATGGGCCTGGATTTTTTGCATTTCATGATCCTTTGGCATCGGCGCCTCCAAAGAAATTATTTAACATTAGAGATGTTGACATATAGTTTTGTAGCTAACTGATATCAGGCTGATATTTACCTATGGAAATATCACATCCATTTTCCAAGATACTGTGATGCAGAGATGAAAGATTTTAGAACACCTCAGTTATTCATGGAGAATTCTTCCCTGTAACATTTGGGAGTATAATCTTATACAACCAGTTATAGCCAACTAAAATAAGAAGGCTTTAAATTAAAATGATGGCACCAAATATTTGTGCTAATAATATGTAATTGATTTTATTCACACAGAATTGGTGTCTTTTGTTTATTCAGTTTAATTTAATGTAATGTATCCCTTCTTTCATTTATTTTGAGTAATAAAGATGGTATTAATTAAATTAAAGCGGTAGGCCAGATTCAGATGCCTCAATCATTAGAGCTGGTTCCTTTCAGTGTAGAGAAACAGTGGCTCTGATCTGACCTTCAAATGACAAAGTTCCTCACCCTTTTCTCCAAATGTGAAACTAATCTCTGATGCATGTACACACAATCATATTATTTTAATTATTACCCACAGTGTCTGGTCTTAAGTTAGGGTAGCAACATAGACTGACTAGTCTATTGACAGCTTCATCAAATCTCTCTCTACTATAACACACCAATGCAGTGGCGCTGCACTAGCACTCATTCCCCTGTTACACTCTTTGCCCAAGCTAACAAGCCAGCTTAGTTATGTGCATCCAGATACTACAATGATATCAGATGATACTGAGTGACTGATGAATTTACTTTTAATTGTTTTGCTAAAAAAGACCAACTGACACATGTAGCAAACTGGTTGCAAATTAATAAAACTGCCTCAAAGCCACATGTGTCAGTTTATTCCTTTTCAGCAGTACACTTAAAAGGAGACACCCTTTAATGCAGCCATTCACACCGACTGTGTAATTTCACTGGACAAATGTGCGGCATTTCCAATACTATTTTACTTCAGACACACTGCTAGATGATACTCTGGGTCTCCGAAATGATTTCTCTGCCTCCTCAGATGTGGTCTGAACTCTGCCAACAAAGGCTCAAACTGCCCCATGACATTTTCAACTGCTGCTGCCTTCTCATGAGAATTCCAGAACAGGATGAACGCAAAATCTCTGCTTTTTACTTTTCTTTCCTTTTTTGAAAACATCAGCACCAGGACCATCATCGGTTAATGTCGAACTTTTTTTAGGATGAATTTTCAACAGAAATGCAACATGTTTAGTGTGTAAATCCATTATAAGGCAAGTTTAGATCTGGAAAACTTGGGAGTTTGTGTTGGTTTTTTTTACAACACGTTAGCTGTCTAATGGTCCAAAAAGCCTTAACCTCCTAAGACCTGAACTCTTCCACTGCATGCATTTTTAATTTCTCTTTGATATTTGGGCATATATTTGTAAAAACAAAGAATTACCAGATTTTTTTTCACCTTATTTTGGTTTTTAAGACAAATAAGAGCCACATATGAGGATATTTGTTTAAAATTTTGATAGAACAGTGTCAGCATAATGTCCTCGTAAGTGGATATCAGGCCCTTGTAGAGCAAAATTGAGTATTTTGGTCTAAATAACCCAAAATGCATGCATGAACTTGAGTTACATAATGATCGGGTTGGCTGTAGCTCAGGAGGTAGAGCAGGTCATCTACTAATCGAAAGGTTGGTGGTTTGATCCCTGGCTGATCCAGTTTGCATGCTAAATATCCTTGGGCAAGATACTAACCCGAAGTTGTTCTCTGATTCTTCCATCTGGCTGTGTGAATGTTAGATAGAAAACACTTAAGCATGGGAAAAATTGCCGGTATGAATGGGTGAACGAGGCATTTTGTGCTCAAGTGCTTTGAGTGCTTAGGTAGAAAAGTGCTATATAATAAACAGTCAGTTTACCATAATACATAAAAACAGTACACCGTTACACAATTGCAGTTCTGGTACACAACATTCCTTTGTCATAAAGCCGACAAGTCTTCCAGCTAAGTTGCATTGGTTGTTAGTACCAACCATCTGAATTTCAGAGGAGCACATGGAGTGGTGATAGCACAAATACACGTGCCTTTATACCACAATACTAAAGTTGAAGTCTCGTGTGTTTTTGTTTGGTTTGTTTTTCTTCTTCTTTCTCCTCATTATCTATTATTCTACTCATTATATATTATTTAGTAGACAATCATTATTTAATTTTAAAAATGCCCTTTTACAGTTTACAAAACCTAATTTTTCTGGGTAACGAGTTCTGACCCATCCAAAGGCTATGACACCAGCTGAGATTTTACATGCTCTTATTCACATAACTGCATGAGGGCACTTGATTTTTAAATGTTAGTAGTTGATTTTATTTTGTTGGTAGTTGTAATACAATGACAAAAGATGTACCCTTAGGCCCCTCCTCAATTCGGAGATGGTTTTCTCTTTTCACATCACCTCCTTGACTTGAAACAAGAAACCACTGTGAACTTGAAGGCTCGTTAAAGTCAGTGCTGTAGTTCAGACATTTGCTCTGCTGCTCTGACTGTAATGAACTGAAGTAGGTTCAGTCCAGTAGCTGAAGATGAGACATTGAAATGGTCTTTATAAGAAACAGAGAAATGTCACTGGTCTATTCAGTCACTAACTAATTACCATTACTCTGTTTTTTTTATGAGTATTATACTGTAAGAGCAACAAGCTGGACTCTTGTTCAGCTCCTGTGCAGAGGTTATTATTAAATATGTGCAAACAGCAGCATCTTTTCTCACTCTCCACATCTGTAAGCACAGTAACACCACATTTAAAAAGCCTACACTTCAACAACCCCCATTAACGGCGGATTTAACATAGTTTTAACGGAAGATGAATAACTGAGGACTGAAAATGTTTCTGTAGTATTGTTCACTCAAACTGCCTGTAAAATAAGTTCCAGGTTCTGATATCTCAGTTTGTCACTAACACAGCTTATGTATACAAAGTAAAAGAAGCTGGATTAAAATAGCAGTGCCTAATATTTATGTAGTCAAAATCTATGTTGAATTTTTCCTCTGATGAATTTTACAGCACAGATTCTGTAGTTTTATTTATAGATTTTTTTAAAGAGTTTTTTTTTTACCTGAATATTTGAAACCACGTTTGGATTATTCTTAATGAGGTATTGTTTACAACGTTACATGTGCAGTGCTCTGAGGAGCTACCCTCAGATTCAGACCTCAGCATCACCCAGTGACAACAGACAAATCTTCCTATATGTTCACTTTGTATTCTAACTTTTAAAAAGTGTAAAGACTAAAGTACCACATTGCGTGCTGTCAGTGAAAGCTGCAATTGTTTTATTGATAACATTAAAAACAAAGAGTCAAAGGGATTAATCATCCATGTAACTGTGTCACTATATAGGAGCGTAAGTAATTACTTAGTTTGGTGTTTTAAGAAAGCTGCTGATCTCAGACCTGAGACTAGTCATCTGCATGAAGAAGACTTGAAATTTTCCCCGACAGCACGTAATAAAACCCGATGGCAGGTCAAAGGTTAATTTGTATGTTGAATTTAAAAGTTTTATCTGGAATTCTCTTACTGTGTTCTTCCGGGAGTGTGTTAATTTAAGGTAAAGTAATTCGGTCATTTTGTACCAGAGTAATCAGAGAGGAAAATATAATGTATAATATATATATATTTTAAATATATAACTTTCCACAGGACTGCATAGAACATTATTATTTAAAAGTCAAGAGCCTCTGTGCATTATGCAGTCCCGGTCAAAAGTTTAAAAACATTTGAAAAATGGCAAAAAATCATATTTTGCATGGTTGGACGTTAACAAGTTTCCAAGTTGAGCTTCGACATGCAACAAGAAGAAATTGGAGTGAGACAAAACATTTTTTTGAGCATGCAATTTATTGAAAACAACCCTTAAACTGAACTATGCTGTTTTACCACTGATGAAAAGTTTAGGACCACGTGCTCAAAAAAAAGGCATGTGGTCTTAAACTTTTGATCAGCTGTAAAACAGCCTGTTGCACTCCCATTTTCTTGTTGCATTTTTTTTTCTTTTAGATGTCGAGACTACCCAATCATTGCCCGACTCTTAAAATCTCCTGTTTCTCTTATGTTTTGTCCATCTAGCCTCTGCCTCTGTGGTTCCTGTCCCAGGAACATTTTCATGGCCCCTAAGCCCCAGAGGGAAGCCCAGGAGGGGCATGCTGCGGCGGGCTGTGTTCTCAGACCTCCAAAGAAAAGGTTTGGAGAGAACCTTCGAGAAGCAAAAATATATTAGCAAACCAGACAGGAAGAAGCTCGCCAGTAAACTGGATCTTAAAGACACCCAGGTACACACCACATCATGGTTTTGGACCATTACTAACACTGTGATTTGACATTTATTTATTCAGTCATGGCCATGAGGAATCTTGTACAATAGTAAAAAAAAAATTAACACTCGGTTGATTATATTTTTGGAAGACATGCAAAAGTTGTCTGTAAAGGTTCTCAGTCATCCAGGGCATTGTAGTCTAAGGAGCTTGGAAAGAAAAACATCCGGAGCATCTTCAAGAAACTTAAAGAAGTCCAGATGCTTTTCTTTCCAAGCTCCTTAGACTAGATGCCAAAGTTATTTTCTTTGGAATAGTGATAAAGGTTATGAGATGATTACAAATTTCAATAAATGGTATTTGTGCTATTAAAACATGTTTATGTGGGAACAGTGGTTCAAGTTCTAGTTTTAGTAGTTTTTTTTAGTTATTCATTTGACACTGTATAAAATAAAAACATGTATAACAATAAATCTTATCCCAAGAAGTTGATTCTGTTCATCTGGACGTAGCGTTTTCAGTGGGAGAAACTTTCATCATTCATCCAAGTGACTTCTTCAGTCTCAGCTGACTGCAGGTTTCCCCAACCTTTTAAACACTGCATTTGCATAATGACTGAAACTAGCACCAGTGGCGAACAATGGGCTGTGAGGTCAGTTCCTTGATCAATAATATGCAAATTGTTATGACCATTGATCAATGGTATATATTGATATTTCTGAATAATGCAAAATGAAACTCATAGGATAATTATTATAATAATCACAATAATGAAAAAAATGTGTCTGTGAAGGTTCTCAGTCATCCAGGTCATCGTAGTCTAAGGAGCTTGGAGAGAAAAGCGTCTGGACTTCTTTAAGTTGCTTGAAGACCTTTCACCTCTCATCCGAGAAGCTTCTTGAGTTCTAGGGTCAAATGGTGGAGAGTCCCAGATTTAAACCCCATAAAGGTGGCTCTTCTATGTTGTGCCATGCTCTTGTGAAGTGGCTGTTTTGTTTCTTCAATGTAGAGGTCTGGGCATTCCTCGCAGTTTGTGTTTTGGAGTTTTGTCCAGAATGCCCTGACTTCTACATTGGAGAAACAAAACAGCCACTTCACAAGCGCATGGCACAACATAGAAGAGCCACCTTCATGGGGTTTAAATCTGGGACTTTCCACCATTTGACCCTAGAACTCAAGAAGCTTCTCGGATGAGAGGTGAAACGTCTTCAAACAACTTAAAGAAGTTAGACTACGATGAACTGGATGACTGAGAACCTTCATGTACATATCTTAGATATGTACATATTTTTCATTTCAGCCTGAATGCAATCAAAGCACTGCCAGGGTCATGCTCCACCCAGACTCAATGTCTGGGTGGAGCATGTTCCACACCTCTATTGCCAAGGAGTTGCAGCTGCACTGTTGCTAGTGACTATCATTGTGATAATCTGAGAATCAGGTGGTGGACAGTGGAGGTGAAGGGAGCTTTTAGGCTGAAGAAGGATTGGGCTTGGTTAGACTGTGGGTCTGTAGAGGTAGCTGTAAGCTAAGTGGAGTTCAGCTCTGGCAGTGGCTGATGCGAAAAATCAGATGTGGGAGAAGTTTCGGTAGACCATGGAAAAATACTTTTGGTCGACCTCACAGCAATTCTGGCAAACTTTCAGACAACTCAGAAGGGGGAACTGGTGCTCTACTCACACTTAATACAACTGTCCTGGGGACGCTACTGACCTCAACTGAGGATATAGTAAAGTGGTGGATACGATACAGAGAAGATTAGCATGGCCCCTGCGCAAGGATGACACGTAAAGTGGTGGAAGAAACACACTAAGGATCTCCTCAATCCCAGTGTCAAGATATGTGTAATAGAAGCAGAGTCTGTGGATGAAGGGGAATAGTGGCCTCTTACTGGGAGTGATGCCACAAATTTAGTTGATCAACTGCTCAGTAACAGGGCCCCTGGGATAGATGATGTTTGCCCAGACTTCTTTAAATCTCGGGATGTTGTGTGGCTGTCCTGGTTTACATGTCTTCCCAATGCTGTGTGCAGGTCTGAAGCGGTGGCTATGGATGGGCATACTGGGATGTTGGTCCCCCTTTTTAAAGGAAGGGTACTGGAGGGTGTGCTCAAATTACAGGGAGATCACATTCCTCAGCCTACTTAGAAAAGTATTTGTTCAAATTTTAGGAATCTTGGGGTGTTGTTCACAAGTGAGGGTAGAGTGAAGCATGAGACTAACAGATGGATTGGCTCTGCACAGGCTGTACTAATGTGTTGTGGTGCAAAGAGACCTTAGTTTAAAGGTGAAGCTGTTGATTTACCAGTCAGTTTATGCTCCTACCCTCAACTGTAATCATAAGCTCATGAACTCGGAGAGAAAGAATGAGGTTGTGGATACAAGTGTAGTTTCCTACAAAGGGTGGCTGGGCTGTCCCTTAAGAGAAGGTGAAGAGTAGAGCAGCTGCTCTTCCACATCAAAAAGGATGATTCCTTGACTCCTCCTAGGTAAGCTGTTTCAGCCATACCCTACGGAAAGGAGGTCCTGAGGCAGATCCAGGTCTCGCTGGAGAGATTGTATTTCTAGGCTGGCTGTGAAACCACTTGAAGAGGTGACTGGGGTTATGGAAGTTTAGGATTCTCTGTTTAAGGTGATTGCAAACACAAACCCAGATAAGTTGTAGAAAATGGATGGATGTACAGTACATAATAAATAAAAAACCTACGGTCTCTCCTTTATTTAAATTTCTTTTAAAGTGGTGTAGGTTCTCTCCACTGTTGCCAACTATTTGCTCATAGAATATTATCTGCTCAGGGAGAGTCTGTTATCTTTCTGGCCTGTAGGAGGGTGAGGGGAAATAAATCAGAGAAAAGAGAAGTACGGAATATGGTTTGGTTCTTTTCTTTGGTTTGCATATGAAAAAAAGTATACATTAAATACTGAAAGAGCAGGAACTTACCAGCTGGCCACCATTAGTAGTTCAAACTTGAATCACAGAGATATTTTCTACTTGATGTTAACCTATTTTTTGTGTCATGTGAAGGTGAAAATCTGGTTCCAAAACCGCAGGATGAAATGGAGAAACTCCAAGGAGAGGGAGCTGCTGTCAACGGGCGGCTGTCGGCAGCAAACCCTCCCCACCAAAACCAATCCCCACCCAGATCTCACTGATGTGGGCAGCACGTACAGCCACAGGCTGAGCAGGATTGCACCATACAACCACGAGTCGCATCTCTGTTGTCATCATCGTAACCCTTCGACTCTATCAGAGTCAGGCAAACAATCAGAACTGTCACAGTCAGACAGTGAAGAAATCACAGTTTTATAAGAGATTCAGATTAATGGAGTATTCCTAGAAGATGATGGAAGTAAATGAATTAGCTCTCCATTTTGCCCTCTATTTTTTGTACAGTGTTGTGTATATTACCTTTATAGCATATCTGCACACACTAATTAAAGTATACTGAGCACTTTTAGATTTAATATTTGTAGGGTTTTTTTACTTTAAATATACAAAATGTTCTTTCATTCATATTTGTATTTGTTGCATTCTCTCACACACACAAAAGAAATAGAAAAATAAAAAAAACTCATCTAAAATGTCATGCAGGTGTCCTGTCTACCTTACCAAATTATGAACACAATGCCAACAACACAAAGAAAGTCGGAAAAACAATCCAAAGGGTTTTTAAAACAATCTGCTCTATGATTCTACTGTAGAAGCAGGTAGGTTGATTCCAAGGAGAGGGAGGGTAGCAGAAAATTACACCACAACAGCGAACAATCAATATGTGACTCCAACATTACTGGAGGGCGAGGCAAAGAGTAAGCATCTGGTTAGATACCATATTTTAAAGGTTATTAGGGCCAAGTACAGTATCCTCAGCTTTATCTGAATTTAGAAGCATGAAATTAGAGGATAGGGGATAGGTTAATTGAGGGGATAGGTTAATTGATTAATCCAAATTGCCACTAGGTGTGAATGTGCGAGTGAATGTGAGTGTGAATGGTTGTTTGTCCCTGTGTGTTGGCCCTGCGACAGACTGGCGACCTGTCCAGGGTGTACCCCGCCTTTCGCCCTATGACAGCTGGGATAGGCTCCAGCGCCCCCCGCGACCCTGAAAAGGATAAGCGGAAGCGAATGGATGGATGAAATTAGAGGTCATCTGTTCTTTATGCCTTTAAGACATTCATGCAGTTTAATAATTAGTATGGTTATTTGGATTAATGGATGGGTAAAGTTAGGCTTATTTTGAATGGCAGTGAAAATACATGCTATATCTTCTAATGATACTCACGAAGGGAATCATGTATAACATAAATTACTCCTAGCACGTGGTTGGTGCAAGCTGGTGGACACCAGAGGTGAAGGGAGCCATCAGAGAAGCAAAAACTTGGGTGTGGGAGAAAAGTTTTTCTATGGCCTAAGTAATTGCTTTGAGACTTTCGTAAGGCCTCAAAGCAATTATGGCAAACCATCAGGTGACTCAGGAAAGTCCTGCTCTACCAACATGGTGGAGTGCTGCTGTTGCTTCAACTGAGGGCATTGTTAGGTGGTGGTAGGAGTGAAGTCGCGGAGGCACCTAAACAGCTCCTTGGTTGCAGGGCCTGTAAGTGGATGAGTTCCTGAAGCTTGGGTGTTTGCCCAACCACCCTACATGCGTTTTGTGGACTTGGAAAAGACATTTGACTGTGTCCCTCAGAGTATTCTGTGCAAGGTGCTTCGGCAGTCTGGGGAGTCTGGTTTTTTTTTGGATGCGTGGTCCTAAACTGTTAATCAGCTGTACAACAGCTTGTTTCAGTTTAAGGCTACGTGTACACTAATCTGGATAAATTTGAAAACGGCTAAAAAGGCTCCGCGTCCACACTATCATTTTCAATCGTTTCCAAACAGTTATTATCCACACCGAAACGACGGAAAACGCTTACATTCCTGTTTTGTGCATGCATGAAACGAAGGACAATTCGACCTGCGTCATTTCTGTCTGTTGTTTATTTACTTTCCGGCTCTTTGAAAGGTCATGCTAAAATGTTGAGAAAATCACCGAGTTTTTTAAATGGTCTGACAATGAGGTGGAGTTGTCGCTGCGAGTAACACAAAAGTACAAAGTTGCAAAAGCGAGTGAGAGTTAAAGAATTTGAAGAAAAGCTATCTGGAGCATGTACAAACTGATATTAATCTTGTCTAGTGCTGTCAAATCTGAGAGCAAACAAAACAAATGCAGTATAATGCCCTCCGCTGTCTTAGTTTAATTGGTCACATGACTGCATCATTTGACTAAAATGCGTCATCGTTTCCGGAAGCCTGTGGTTATGCAGTCCACACTGTGATGTGAAAATGGCATTTTCAAATGTATCCGCTTTGGAGAGCTCAGTGTGGACGGAAGGCCAAAAAGGAGAGAAAAATGATGTCTTTTCAAATATAAACGTATTAGTGTGGACATGGCCTTGCTGTTTTCAATAAATTGTATGCTCAAAAAATGTTTTCTCTCACTTCGATTTCTTCTTGTTGCATGTTGAAGCTCTCCTTGGAACCTTGTTAAGATCCAACTATGCAAAATATGATTTTTTTGCCATTTTTCCCAGTGTTCTTAAACGTTTGATCGGGACTGCACAATCTGTGGAAATGAGCTTACTCGAAGGGTAGGCTGGCCTCTCCCTTAGAGATAGAGTGAGGAGCTTGGCCATTTTGGAGGGGCTCAGAGTAGAACCACTATTCTTCCACATCGAAATGAGCCAGTAGAAGTGACACTGACAAGGATTCCTCCTGGGTACCTCCTGCCTGAGATGTTCTGAGGATGTCCCACCAGAAGGAGCCTCCAGGGCAGACCCTGGACACACTGGAGAGATATCTCTTGGCTGGTGCATGATGTAGTGACTGTTTCTTCTTCAGTCACCTTTTTCACTTACTGTGTGTTTATACACCACTTTAATTATTAATTATTATTTATCTCTTGCTCTATTCCTTAGTTTACCTATTCCTTTAAAAAGCTCACGTTTAACTGTTCCCTTTTAACTGGTGCTTCTAAACTGGCTGGTGGCATAAATGTTTGTTTGTAATGTGTGACTCTGACCCTGTAACAAGCTAACAACCTCTCCAAGGTGTAACCTGCCTCTTACCCTATGACTGTAATAGTTCCAGCGACACTGTGACCATGAATTGGATATACAAAACAAAAAAAATGGATTTTTGTGAACTGAATATGCTGGACTTTACTGGACACAATATGACATCAACATGGATTTCTTTTTTCCCCCAACATTTTATATAATATACAATTAACTGATCATGAAAATCATTTAAAACTAAGAATGGTATTACTTAATGAGACACTAGACACTACAAAAGTAGCCTGGCTTTACCTATGATACAATTCAAAAGTCTGTATTTTTCAAAGGATGTTGTTTACAAAGGATGTACAGAATACATTTAAAAGCTAAGGATGGATAAAAATGTATGACCTTTGTAAATAAAATACAAGAATTTTTAATATTTAATAAAGAACCTGAAACCAGCCCTCTGTAAAACATTTCATGAACATAACGTACAAAGCAAATGTCGTGTGTCACTCTGTCTCACTGGGAGGATTGACAGCAGATCCTTGAATGATGTCTCTGATTCTCTGTGTATCCACCAACAGCGCTTCATTATTAGGGTCAATCTTCAGAGCAGCAAGGAAGTCTTGGAGCCCTGAAATTAAATTGTAGGTAGATCAGTTGAGACCTGGACACCTTTTGAGTCACTGTAAAAAACACGCTCCACATATTTGACCTTACCCTTGCCCTTAGGTAGGACAAAGTTACTGTCATGCAAGTTACAACTCAAGCCTTGAGTCATGGCTAACAAGTTCTAAGTAAAGTCCGAAACAAATCACTGAGTGCAACACATCAACTTATTGACATTTTAAAGCAACAAACCTTCTGGATAGGCCTGCAGCTCGCAGAAGGCAGATCCTCGACGGACAAAAGCTCGAACTCTGGCAGCTGCATTGGCAGGGACTGGTGGAGTCAGCAGATCAAGTGCCTGCAGTAAAAAAGTGGGCAGATGTTTACTGTATGCTATTCCTCTGGAAAGTAAATAAATCTTGACCATTCATTGTCAGAGTTGGACCATCCAGAGCATCTGTCAGTCCACCTGTGCAACAAATCCAGTTGTGAAATTTTCTCGCTGCTAAAGTCAATGTTTGTGGTTTTATAACAAAGTGGAAGCCACTGGGAACAACAGCAACTTCAGCCACAAAGTGGCAGACCACGTAAATCAACCGAGCAGGGTCAGCCGATACACAGAAGTTCTGCAGAGTCTGTTTATTTACCATTAGAGCAGTGGATTGGTCTTTTATATGTTCCACTGGAGCACTCAAAGTGCTTTACACAACATGCCTCTTTCACCCATTCATAAAAGCAAATTTTTTTACTTGAGTGTTTTGTATCTAAGACTCACACATTCACACTCATACTCCAATTGTCATGGTCTGGCAGTTCTCACCGGCAGACCTGCCCGTTATGTCCATGTTTGTTGTGTTTTTTGTTCTCCCTCCTTTTCCCCGTTATGTGTGTTTATGTTGACGTTCGTGCTCCCAGAAGTTTAGGATCCCCAATGATCATTCGATCCAAAAGTGTTCCTGCTGTGGAGGCAGCCACACCTGTCGCTCATCAGCTGCCGCCAGCTGCAGCTGATTGAGAGCGTCCTAACAGTGTGGCTGGATCGTTGAGTTTACCTCATCAGTACAGCCGTGGACTTGCTTTTGAAAAACCTCGCTCTGGAGATGGATTGCCTAGCTAACTCACTGTGTTTATCTTCACTAGGAATCGGGAGCAGAGTGTGTTTTCACAGGAGCAGAGTCACGGATTGCATGGGAGTTTTCCATTTCACTGTTCACGGACACAAGCACTGTGTGGGGATTTTGAAGAAGATCACCTTGCCGGGACTTGTATATATTTTACCTGTTGTTTTTCACTGTAAATAAATTCACTATTTTCTCTCAGAAGAGTCCCGTGTTTGGGTCCGGATCCTACCTACACCCTGACCCCATTGGATGCTTCAGAGAATACCTTGCGGTTAGTATCTTGTCCAAGGATAATTGTCATGTAGACTGAGGCAGCCAAGGTCCTTCTGAATAGTAGATGGCCTGGTTTACCCCCTAAACCACAGACACCCCTTCTCCATCTGGCAATCCGATGGATGAGTTTTGGTTTGTGTCAGCAGAACAGTACTTGTCTGACTGCAAGTGTAAAGTTTGGTGAAGGCGGGATTATGGTGTGGGGTTATTTTTCAGGTGTTGAAACTCTTAATGCTTCAGCATACTAAGACATTTTGGGCAATTTCATGCTCCCAACTTCATGAGAACAGTTTGGGGATGGTCCCCAAGTGTTCCAACATAACTGCACACCAGCACACAAACCAAGGTCCTTAAAGACATGGATGAAGATGTTTGGTGTGGAAGAACTTTATAGGCCTGCAGCGAGTCCAGATCTCAACGTACAGAACACCCTTGTAATTAATTAGTGCAGAGACTAATTCTTCCCAGGTCTACTTATCCTTGTGCTGACTCCCAATTAATGTCTGAACTCATAAATGCACTTTTGAAATAATGGTCAAAAATTTCTATAAACACACTCCTAAACATTGTGGAAAGCCTTCCCAGAAGAGTTAAAGCTGTTATATCAGCAAAGGGACCTTATCATCATATCAAACCCTATGGATTAAGACTGGGATGTTAAAACGTAAGTTCATATACATTGGTTGATGAGCGAATACTGTTCGCAATACAGGATATAATGCAGTGATCCTAGTTCAAATCTGCTCTGAGGCCATTTAATGCAACTCCCAGCTTTCTGCCTGTCTATCACAAAAAAGACTAAAAAAGGTAAAAGTAAAAATTAAAAAAGCTATAAAAGAAAAAATACCTGAGAGGAGTCTTCAATGGCCTTGTGAAAATTTCTTAACTTCAGATGGCATGCGGCCCTGTTCGAATGCAAAGCAGGGATCTTCCCCATAACCCTGATAGCCAAGCTATAGGCATTCACTGCTCCCAGGAAGTCCCCAGTGGCAAAACATTTGCTAAAAAATAAAGTTCTGTTAAACAGAGCTGATAACAAGGAAAATACAATTAATTAAACAGTGAAATTAAGCACGAAAAAAAAAAATTTCAGTTACCCCAAAAATAACAATAGTTTGTACTTAGAAAAATAACAAAAAGTAAACCTCCTTAGAGACACTTTGAAAGTACAGGTAAGGAAAACAGTTAGTTAACAGTCAAACTGTTAAAAAAATGTTTTGGAGCTTGTTAAACTCTGCCCCTAGAAAATATTTCAATCAATAAAAAACAAAATCAAAAAACCCAAACTAACACTAAACTAATAATAACCAGACTAAAAAAGGACATCCACCCTGGAAACTAAACTGAACTGAAATTGGAAAGAAAATCTTGAAAGTTACTAAAAATTATAAAAAAAATAATTTAAATGTTTTTTTAAACTAAACTCTGTTTGCTGACACACTTCACTCACTCTCCTTTGTCCTTTAACCAGTAAGGGTTCCTCTCCTCTTCCTTCAGGTCTTTTAGCTCACCAACATCCACATTCACTTTTCGTCGGGTTTCAGCTTGTTTTCTCAGCCACTAGTTGGTTAAAAACAAACAAACAAACAAACAAACAAACAAACAAACAAACAAACAAACAAACAAACAAACAAACAAACAAACAAACAAAAAAAGCATATAAAAAAGTGACAAAGGTGTGTCTTCCATCCTACTGGGTGATCTTCAGTATTTGAAATTATTCTCAATAGCAGGGCCAGCAGTAATGTTATCTGTTTTACAAACAAAAGCCAGATCTACATAAGTGATCAAATAGCAGTGACTGTAGAAAACATGTACAACCTGACAGCTCCCCCAAAATGAATCCAAAGCATCTCTATTGCCCCCTGGTGCCTGACTGCAGTATTAATCATAAACCCCATGTCTTCCATGTTAGCAGATAACACTGGGGTCAAACTGTCAAACTAAATCAAAAGTTGCTTCACCAAGTTGCTTTGCAATCACTAAGAAACCTGCGCATCTCTGCTTGGAAACTGCAGATAAAGCCTGAATTTTGAGAGGTGGTCCAGTATTTACTTTCCAACAGAGTCAAATGTTAGGGTACCACCCAGTGTTTTGGTTATTGGACTTTTTGGACCTTGTTTATCGTTATAATGTTCCACGTTTCTTAGTCTTTATTTGGTATTGTTTAGTTTTCTTGTGCTTTTTAGTTTCATCCTTTGTATTTCCATACATAGAAAAAGAAAAGTATGGAAATACAAAGGATGAGACGTATGTATAAACTGTTTCCCAGTTTAGTCAGTCTTGTCTTCATGTTTGTTTGCCTAGTTGTCTGTTTTACCAGTTGTGACTCTGCGTGCGTCTCTCACCCTCTGTCTCTCGTCCCTCGCTCTGTTATGTGTCTCAGTGTGTGTGTTTCTCGTACTTCCTGTTTAGTTTGCCTGTAAGTCCTGCATCTTTGACAGCGACTGTCTGCTCTACACTGACAGCCTGAGGTGTTCTGCAGTAAACTGCACTAACTGTCAGAAAGACGTGTGGCATCATCACCCTTTTTTGTTAAGCTAAAGGTGTTTGTAAGCTAATCAGTAATTAGTCCTTAGCTATCGTGCTAAAATGAACAGTCAGCTGTTGGGGAAAGCTGGTGTTAGTTTACTAATCCATGCATATCAAATAAAGCTTATCCTTATCCTTATCAATCAAATTAACCTGAAAAAAAACCTACTGTATGTTTGAATGTTTCAAAATATTGTATACTTCAATCCCTCATAAATAGCACGTTTAACACAGTTTTAACAGAAGATGAAGTACTGAGAGGACTGAAAATGTTGCCACTGTATTCTTCACAATGACTGGCTGTAATATCACTTCCAGTTTGTAACTTCTGTTTCTTGATAACACAACTGATTTTAACTAAATAAAAGACACAAGATTAATTGGAAAAAAAAAGTGTGAAAAATATAACAAAGTCTAATATGCTGTGCTGAAACCAAATATAAACATTTGGTGTGTTAAAACAAATTGTATGTTTAATTTCTCCACTAATTAATTTTTCAGCACCAGCTGTTTATATTTATTTATATTTTTTTTTACATGTCAGCTGTCAGCAGAACTGTAGACTCACGAAATGTGAAGAAAACATTACCTGTCGGTAGAGTGAAGATCCACTTTATTTCGGTTTGAGAGATAAACTGAACTGCACATTTGACATTTGGTGATGATTCTTTTTTCTTTGTGGTAATATGATCTGCCCTCAGATTCAGACCTCAGAACCATCCAGTGATAACAGATAAATCACACTATATATGCTCATTTAATCTTGGAGTAAATTTGTCATAACTCATAAATTAACTGATCAAAAAAAGCTAAAGGTACCAAATGATGTACTGTCAGTGAAAGCTGTAGGTGTTTTACTGAGAAAGCTAAAGGCAAAAAGGGATTAATCATCTATATAACTTATAAAGAAAGACACATTAAGAATTGTAAACTGGAGTGTTTGTTTTGTTGTTTAGCAAGCTTCATACTACTAGGACCAAGCTGGCCTTAACCCAGGAAATCCAGACCAGCTTTGGTCCTAATGGTTTCTGCAGCTTGTTTTTCCCCAGGGTGAATTTAGCTGCTGATAATATTGTGGACTCTCTTTGTTTATGTCATCCCCAGTCTTATGTTCAAATCACAAAAGACAACATCTAATTTGCAGATTATTCAGATATTTACAGTAACTCTGGGCCTCTGTGGAGTGTGCAGTTGATGTCGTCTCCAGTTATAAAACGAGGATAAAAAAAACTAAGGAGTGATGAATTATTCAAACATAATGACAGCAACAAAGGTGTGTAGCATGGCTAACTAGCCAACAACAAACCTTTAATGCAGTGCATTAAAAGACCCCATGTGTGAAGTGCATGGGGGCACTTTTGCAGTCACCAGCGTGTGAGTGGATGGGAGTGTGACGCAGCATCTCAGTCCTACTGGGCAGATTCTGGCTTTAAAAAATTCCACATGGTAGCCCTCACAAGTGCACAGTGGGAAGTAGTGAAGCCATGGCATCCATCTGTCATACAGTCAGTACAGCTAAGATGCAAAAATACTCCATTTTATTTTTTTTCTATTTCAGTTTTTCCCCCCCAGTGGATTAATGTTATCTTTGGGGACCAAGGGAGTGTACAGTTATCCAAATACCCGAATGAACAACCACATTTTGTATTATATAAATGATCATGCAATAATTTATTTGCTACACTCTGTACATATGTATGTTAAGTGTGCTTAAAATCCTAACTCTTAGACTGGAGCCACAGTCCATGTTATTGTTGTTCAAATACTCTCTTAAAGTGGTTATTTAAACTCCATACTCCATAATTCTTTTTGGTGGTGGTATTGGTTTTCACAGCATTCAGGAACTCACCTCCTCCTCCTCTGGAAGTCTGGACTCTCTGAGAGCTGTTGGAAAGATTCTTGGGGTGAATGTAACTTGAATGTTTCCACTGAGTCTTGGAGGAGGGAGTTCATGTTGGGCTTTCTTGCTCTTTGCATTACTGTTGCTTCTTTGATCTGCAAGCAGGAGTATGTTCATTAATATCAGCCTGTATAACGCCAAATCTAAGCACCAGGAAAAAACAATGTAGACTGCAAGACAAAATTGGACCATTTGTCATTCTATGAAGCTTCACTTTAAGCACTTTGCCTACCTCACATCCATGGCCAATTTATAATTACCAATTAACCTAATATACATGTTTTTGGACTATGTGGTAAAGCTGAAGTACTCAGAGGAAGGCAGGCACAGGATAAGATGCAAACCCCACACAGAAAAACTCTGGGAGTCTTTCTGTGTGGAGCTGAGACTCAAACCAGGAACCTTCTTGCTATGAGGCAACAGCTCTAACCATGACACCATGCTACCTAAAAGAAGTGTAATGATGGCTTGAGGTTAACAATGTTAATTCAGAGCAAGAGGGTCCTGGGTTCAAACCCAGTTGGAGGCCCTTTCCGTGGACTGCAGGCTCGCCATGTGCTTGCATAGTTTTTCCTGTCCTTGCAAAACATCCTAGGTGAATGCTGCCTATGTCACCTCAAGAGTTGCATTTCCTGCTTTTTTGTTTATTTGTGTTTTTTTTTTACTCACCCAATTTCATTTTTTCTTGGTTGGGAGGTCCACATTTTTGCCTCTCTGTCTCTGTTCTTAGTTGGCGTGCTTTGGCTTTTTGATTTTGCAATTTTAGCTGGACATCCTGCTCTGCTTTTTGTTGTTGTCTGAAATGCCATGCAGCCAACTCTTGTGTGGTTTTCTCTTGTTCTGTGTCCTTTATCTTCTGGATACTGTCTCGTTCCTCTTTTTCAAGCTGAACTCAAGGAAAATATAACAAAACACTAGAGGCTCTTTTCAGGATCAAACAGGAGAATTTGGTGATTAAACAGAGTGGAAAATTACCTTTATCACTGTCTCCAGAGCATATTTGTTCTCTTCTTGTTGTTTTGCTGCCTTGTTTCTAGACTCTGAAGAAAGCTTTTCGTGGTATTTTAACAGGGCCCTCTGTCTGATCTCCATTTTTTCTTTATTATCTGAAAAACATTATGAACTTAATTTAATCGAGTAATTTCACTAAGATTAAAATCCCAAGTAAAGCCTGCTAGGGTTGGTTGGGCAACTGGGCGAATATCTATCAACAACTGAACTGAAGTAATACTAAAGCTGAAGTAACTTCATGTGCCCAACACGTTTATGAATACTGAACAGGCAGGGCACAGAAAGGGTAGAAAAATATGCAGTGATTTCCAATTTTGATAGAAGCTGTGCACAGAGCATCAGCAGAGGAACAAACAAGGAACATGAGATAAAATGAGATAAACAATGACATGGCTTACCTAACAAAACCCCTGCAAAAATGCACAAGCACTGTTTGAAAAAATAAGCCTACCAGTTGGTATCACAGTTTTTCTTGATTTCACAGCAGAAAAACATTCTCACTACTCTTAGTGCAGCTCTCAAATCAGTAATGCATTTCCCCACCCATAATAGCTTTTGTCATTGTTTTTATGGACACTACTATTGTTTTCATGTTGTTTTCAACATTAACAGTTTGTACTTTGTCAATCATGGACTACGAAATGGAGCAGTCGTTAGCCATATCCCCTACATGGATGGCATCAAGCTGTATGCCAGGAGTGAAAAAGACATCGACTCACTGACAGATGTACAGCTAGAAGTATAGTTGGATTCTGGGAATCCCGCAGATAAATGGGAACCATGAAGAGGCCGCTAGGAAAGCCACAACTCATGGATCTTTGTTGTCTCATGAGATAACAGATGCACAAACTGGTGATGGCTAACCAACCAGACATAGACAAGCAGAGAAAGATGGCCGTAATGACAGACGTAGCTATACCAAGTGATAGCAACATCAGATGTATAAAGGCTAATTTACACCCCACTCTCAAAAACTGATATAGATTTAACACTGCCTGTGTAGCTAGATTTAAGAAATACGTGCTTAGAGTTTAAGTTCTTAAAAAATGTTTACTGCCATCTTGTGCTAGTACAGAACATGACATCATCAGGTTTCTTGGTTGGTTGCAGTCAATACACTCACATTAGTTTATGTTAGCTAATTTTAACAGAACCAATAACTCAAGGGAAGACAAGGGAAGGCAGTACAAAGGTGACCCCTTAGGGGGCCTTAGGGGGCCACCTTTGTACTGCCCCGAGCTGCAACAATGTTTATCTTAAGAAACCAAGAATATACTGTTCACTTTCACTCTGTCTCTTAAGCAGTAAGCGTTTCTTCATTGGACTAGCTGCACTGAGACAGAAAAATCCACCTGTTAGCCATAATTTTCGTTTTTATAAACCATTTTATGAATCAGAACAGTGTGGAGGGGAGCCTGTTTGAGTCAGGTGACAGGTGGTTCGCTGGATGGACAAGCTGGAGTCAGAAAATTATTTTTCCTTATGTGGCTGAGTGTACTGAGTGGTGCAATCAGCTGATGTGATCAGCGCTATTTTATGCAATAAAATAGTCTCTCTATCCCAAGAACACTCAAACAGTTAACAACATATCAGGTTACTACATGTGCCTCACACTACAAACATAACTATGTTTCTTATCGAGGCATAATTGGGAATCCAATGATGTCATGCTAAACATGTTTTGATAACTTTAACTTTCAGCACTTATGTTTTAAATCCAGCTACACAGTAAGTTTTATATCCTTGTCAGTTTATGAAACCAGGGCTCCATGATGTAAATTAGCCTTAATACAGGAAGTGTTTCAAGTCAATTTTACATAATTTTACAAGCTTGTAATTGCCAGATAAAAGCCCTCAAGAGACACTGTTCACAGGAAAACATCCAGCTTACCACATCAAAAACTTCAGGACTGCTGCATGACCAACTCTGTCTCTTCTTGAACTGTCACATGTACAAATGTATTATGATACATTATCATGGGTTCAGAAGACCAGAGCCTTGTTGTTTACTGAAATGACCACAAGTTGAAGCTCTTACCCGTACTTATCATCAGATGCTTCCACACTTTGTTGGTCCTTTTTGGCAAAGTGATGACTGCACATCCATTTGCAACCCTTACTGCGATTCTGTCATCATCAACAGGCTCAAACAAGAAGGCTTCAAACAGATAAGGCGGGAAATGCACCTGTGAATGAATACATATTATACTGTAAGAATTGTTGTTAAGAGAAAAGTAAGACCATCTTCTGGTTCTTGTTTAGCGATTAATTTGAATTGAATTTTGAATTTATATGTACAGATATATATTTTTTTATACATACACACACACACACACACACACACACACACACACACACACACACACACACACACACATACATACATACATACATACATACATACATACATACATACATACATATATATATATATATATATATATATACACACACATACATACAGTGGGGCAAAAAAGTATTTAGTCAGCCACCGATTGTGCAAGTTCCCCCACTTAAAATGAAGACAGAGGTCAGTAATTTGCACCAGAGGTACACGTCAACTGTGAGAGACAGAATGTGAAAAAAAAATCCATGAATCCACATGGTAGGATTTGTAAAGAATTTATTCGTAAATCAGGGTGGAAAATAAGTATTTGGTCACCTCAAACAAGGAAAATCTCTGGCTCTCACAGACCTGTAACGTCTTCTGTAAGAAGCTTTTCTGTCCCCCACTCGTTACCTGTATGAATGGCACCTGTTTGAACTCATCATCTGTATAAAAGACACCTGTCCACAGCCTCAAACAGTCAGACTCCAAACTCCGCCATGGCCAAGACCAAAGAGCTTTCGAAGGACACCAGGAAAAGTATTGTAGACCTGCACCAGACTGGGAAGCGTGAATCTACAATAGGCAAGCAGCTTGGTGTGAAAAAATCAACTGTGGGAGCAATCATCAGAAAATGGAAGACATACAAGACCACTGATAATCTCCCTCGATCTGGGGCTCCACGCAAGATCTCATCCCGTGGGATCAAAATGATCATGAGAACGGTGAGCAAAGATCCCAGAACCACACGGGGGGACCTGGTGAATGACCTGCAGAGAGCTGGGACCAAAGTAACAAAGGTCACCATCAGTAACACACTACAACGGCAGGGAATCAAATCCCGCAGTGCCAGACGTGTTCCGCTGCTGAAGCCAGTGCATGTCCAGGCCCGTCTGAAGTTTGCCAGAGAGCACATGGATGATACAGCAGAGGATTGGGAGAATGTCATGTGGTCAGATGAAACCAAAGTAGAACTTTTTGGTATAAACTCAACTCGTCGTGTTTGGAGGAAGGAGAATACTGAGTTGCATCCCAAGAACACCATACCTACTGTGAAGCATGGGGGTGGAAACATCATGCTATGGGGCTGTTTTTCTGCCAAGGGGACAGGACGACTGATCCGTGTTAAGGACAGAATGAATGGGGCCATGTATCGTGAGATTTTGAGCCAAAACCTCCTTCCATCAGTGAGAACTTTGAAGATGAAACGAGGCTGGGTCTTCCAACATGACAATGATCCAAAACACACCGCCCGGGCAACAAAGGAGCGGCTCCGTAAGAAGCATTTGAAAGTCCTGGAGTGGCCTAGCCAGTCTCCAGACCTCAACCCCATAGAAAATCTGTGGCGGGAGTTGAAAGTCCGTGTTGCTCGGCGACAGCCCCAAAACATCACTGCTCTCGAGAAGATCTGCATGGAGGAATGGGCCAAAATACCAGCTACTGTGTGTGCAAACCTGGTAAAGACCTATAGTAAACGTTTGACCTCTGTTATTGCCAACAAAGGTTATATTACAAAGTATTGAGTTGTATTTTTGTTATTGACCAAAGACTTATTTTCCACCCTGATTTACGAATAAATTCTTTACAAATCCTACCATGTGGATTCATGGATTTTTTTTTCACATTCTGTCTCTCACAGTTGAAGTGTACCTCTGGTGCAAATTACTGACCTCTGTCATCATTTTAAGTGGGGGAACTTGCACAATCGGTGGCTGACTAAATACTTTTTTGCCCCACTGTACAGGGAGTGCAGAATTATTAGGCAAGTTGTATTTTTGAGGAATAATTTTATTATTGAACAACAACCATATGCTCAATGAACCCAAAAAACTCATTAATATCAAAGCTGAATGTTTTTGGAAGTAGTTTGTAGTTTTAGCTATTTTAGGGGGATATCTGTGTGTGCAGGTGACTATTACTGTGCATAATTATTAGGCAACTTAACAAAAAACAAATATATACCCATTTCAATTATTTATTTTTACCAGTAAAACCAATATAACATCTCCACATTCACAAATATAAATTTCTGACATTCAAAAACAAAACAAAAACAAATCAGCGACCAATATAGCCACCTTTCTTTGCAAGGACACTCAAAAGCCTGCCATCCATGGATTCTGTCAGTGTTTTGATCTGTTCACCATCAACATTGCGTGCAGCAGCAACCACAGCCTCCCAGACACTGTTCAGAGAGGTGTACTGTTTTCCCTCCTTGTAAATCTCACATTTGATGATGGCCCACAGGTTCTCAATGGGGTTCAGATCAGGTGAACAAGGTGGCCATGTCATTAGTTTTTCTTCTTTTATACCCTTTCTTGCCAGCCACGCTGTGGAGTACTTGGACGCGTGTGATGGAGCATTGTCCTGCATGAAAATCATGTTTTTCTTGAAGGATGCAGACTTCTTCCTGTACCACTGCTTGAAGAAGGTGTCTTCCAGAAACTGGCAGTAGGACTGGGAGTTGAGCTTGACTCCATCCTCAACCCGAAAAGGCCCCACAAGCTCATCTTTGATGATACCAGCCCAAACCAGTACTCCACCTCCACCTTGCTGGGGTCTGAGTCAGACTGGAGCTCTCTGCCCTTTACCAATCCAGCCACGGGCCCATCCATCTGGCCCATCAAGACTCACTCTCATTTCATCAGTCCATAAAACCTTAGAAAAACCAGTCTTGAGATATTTCTTGGCCCAGTCTTGACGATTCAGCTTGTGTGTCTTGTTCAGTGGTGGTCGTCTTTCAGCCTTTCTTACCAATACTTTCTCTGAGTATTGCACACCTTGTGCTTTTGGGCACTCCAGTGATGTTGCAGCTCTGAAATATGGCCAAACTGCTGGCAAGTGGCATCTTGGCAGCTGCATGCTTGACTTTTCTCAGTTCATGGGCAGTTATTTGGCGCCTTGGTTTTTCCACACGCTTCTTGCGACCCTGTTGATTATTTTGAATGAAACGCTTGATTGTTCGATGATCATGCTTCAGAAGCTTTGCAATTTTGAGACTGCTGCATCCCTCTGCAAGATATCTCACTATTTTTGACTTTTCTGAGCCTGTCAAGTCCTTCTTTTGACCCATTTTGCCAAAGGAAAGGACGTTGCCTAATAATTATGCACACCTGATATAGGGTGTTGATGTCATTAGACCACACCCCTTCTCATTACAGAGATGCACATCACCTAATATGCTTAATTGGTAGTAGGCTTTTGAGCCTATACAGCTTTGAGTAAGACAACATGCATGAAGAGGATGATGTGGACAAAATACTCATTTGCCTAATAATTCTGCACTCCCTGTATATATATATATATAATTATTATGATGTCTTAGCAATGGCTTTTTCTTGCTGCAACTCATCCGTCAAACCTGCAGCTTGAACTCTTCTCTTCTCAGTTGAAACTAAGACTTGTTTACTACAACCACTATTAAGCTGTGCTTGAAGCTGTTGTCCTATCACGCAAGCTGTTAACTCTCAGAAACTTGTCCTCTGGTTCAGTTGTGGCTTTGGGTCTGCCAGACCTATTCCTATCAGAGTGTGCCCCAGTTTTTAAATGCCTTTTGATGGTGAAGGAAACTGTACTCAGTGACACTTTGACTTTCTTGCAATTTCTCTATAGGAAAGACCTACATTTTTAAGTGTTATGATGGTCTGTCTCTCTTCCATTGTTATTTGCCTTTTTCTCGAGGGTATGGTACAGTGTGTTCCGACACTGCTTTTATGCAGACAGAGGGGGACGGTAGAAAAATATCCGGTTGGGAGGGGGGGCTTTAATGATGCATTTGGAAAAACTCGTGCAGAAAGCTTAATATGGTCATGTCAATTTATATTTATATATTTCTTTTCCTTCTTTTCCTTTTCACGTAGATGGCAACAAAAGCATTGATAAAAGCGCTCGAAAATATATACGGCAGCTGAGTTGGCTGCTGCTCACAAACTTGATCAAACTGCCGTACATCGTTTCAATATGTCTCAATTCTGTGTGACACAGAAAAAAAATGCTATGCAGTCTAGCTTAGTCTCTGACTGAGACGAGTCCCATAGATATAGTATTTGATACACAAACAGTAAAAATACAAAACTCCTTTATTCAGAACTTTACCTTGAGGTAATCGTCCGTACAGACAATGTCTACCTTCCCGGCATTCGTTCCTTTTAGAGGCACATTAATGTAAAGCGTCGTCTCCGTCTGGGTCCAGACGTAGTCCATCACGACCAGAGGCATTTTTGGGACAACTGAGCTCACTGTTTGATTCACCTGATTTTAGAAGAGCCAGAAGGTTGTGCTTTGATTAAAAAAAATCGCTCTATTTCCTTTCCTAAACGTGTCCGACGTGAAGTCCCGTCGCACCTCGCCATGTTACTATGGTAACCATAAACAAAATGCTGACTTTGAGTTTGTCGGAAAAACCTAAACTGAAATTCGTAACGCATAACCACAATGCATTAAACATTTTTATATATTCTTCTATAAAAATCCACAAAGCCGAAATCCATAACCTTTCACAGGAAGTGCACTCAACCTACGTAAGAGGATTAAAGGTGCTGACAAAAAAGTGGGGGAATCATTTCTATTTGTTTGTTGTTGTTGTATTTCCAGAATCCTGAAAAAAAATCTGTTTCTTCAACTGGATTGGACACGGAGAATTCAGGCTTTTTTCCCCTTAGAATTCTGGAAAACAAACAAACAAACAACAACAAAAACCCCAAACAAAAGACTCACACAAATTTTGTTTGCCAGTGGCCCTAATGCTCTTTCATAACAACCTCATCTTTGAGGTTAATTTAATAGAAAGTTTTTTCACTGAAGCTTAACTCTAAGATCTCCTTTCAAAGAGGAGAAGCTACCAGACCCAGACTCAGTGGTTCTCATAACTCACTTCAAATGTTGTTACTGTTAATCAGCTCCTGTCTTCTCAGATTCAGCTAAATGCTACAAAACTATTCAGATGGTGCTTGACGGTGCAAATGGATAATGACCCAATGCAACCTAAACGTTTCCCTAGGCTAACTAATAAGATAGTCTTAAATACTCAAGTTAGTCACTGAAGGCTGTCTAGAGCAGTAGCAAACAGCAAATGAAGGTGGCTGGAGTAAAGACTAGTGCCGTATGCTACAGAGCAAATTCAACATACCGAGGGTATCATTACATTATCTGGTTTCAGTTACCTTGTCACTGGTGATCAGGATCATGGGGATGATATTGTTAAAGCATGACCTTGATCACAAACTGATTGAGCTAAAACACAACATACAATTAACAACATAAAACAACAATAGTAAAATGGGTAAAATAGAGACATAAAATTATCTATATAACATATAAAACATACCTCACCAACTGACCCATGCTTAGAGGCAGAAATGAGCATTTTACAGATACTAGGTTGAGGTTTTGTGTTTGATTTGTTAAAGTCACTTTGTCTTATGGCTTGGTATGATGTAATGGGATTACATGCAATACATCTTTTCCTGTGACCTTTGGCCAAGAGTGTAAATTGTCCCTAAAGGCATTAGCTATTGACAAAAGGCTCTCCATAACGTTCATGCTGCCTCATATGGATATTCAGAGCCAATCAGAAAATACCCATCTAAGGCTTCTTTAACACAGCTGCCAACATACTTCTGTAAGACAAATATCTTTTCTGCAGTGGAAATGTTCCTTCACAACATTGGAGTCTGAAAAGATGCTTTCCAATGCTTAGACTTAAGTGAATGCCCACTAAATACAGAGGGCTCTGGGATAGGTAGTCTATTAGCTGACATTGCTTCTGCCAAAACCTTTACAAGCTCACCTGCGCTCCAATGAGTCATGTTTAACTCTGTTTGTTGTTGTGAGGGTTGATTAGTAGCATTGTTGAACTCTGTTACCTGTACATTTGCAGGGGCAGTTGCAGGAGTGACTCTTTCTTGCTTCACTGAAATGTAACCTTCCTCGTAAACTTGTAGTTTTGCTTTTGCTGCCTTGAATCCTTTCAGATTTTCCATCTTTCAATTTCTCTTTTCAAGTCCTCAAATGACTTTCTTAATGCAGCACTTCCCTCTTGTTGTCTCTTTATCACAGCTGCTTTCTTCTTTTCTCTTTTAACATGCCTCAGTTTCCTCCTTCTCCTCTAGGAGGCATTGTGACATTGCAGCAGCATCTTGTCCTGCAGTAAAGCGTTTCTTTTCTTCTTCACGCAATTGTACTCTTTCTCTGTATTTCTCTTATTCAGTCTTAATCTGAAGCAAAGCCTTTGTGGCTTCATACTGCGCTGCAGCTTCTTGTCTTTTGGTGGAGGAGGCATTAGAGATAACTCTATTAGCTTTAAACTGGCTATGAACTGAGACACTAACAGAGCAAGAGGATGTAAATATACAGCTGGCATCAGGCCATACATTCTCCTCTTGCTTTTCTCCTTCAGTGTGAACTTTGATGTTTTGTAAAATTACTGTAGTCACTGAGGTGGATTTGTATAGCTTGGAATGCATATCATGAGAGGGTCCATCCATTGCTCTATAGTCATCATAAATATCATTAAGCTTGGCTACTTCTCTTTGTACAATGTTCATGTGACCTTCAAGAATGTCAAGTAGATCTCCTTTTAAAACAGACTGCTTTGACAGTCATAAATACTGTCAAAGCAGTGTTGAAGCCATTGTAACCTTTCTTTATGGAATTCTTTTCCGTTTTCTGTGAGCATGTGAGGCCTTTCACTTCTATGCTGCTCTACTTCCACTCTTTGCTCTAAACAGGTTTCATCCACTTGTTCTGCACTGGAAACTTCAATTTCTGTTTCATTTGTTTGTGACATTTTTGTTTTTCTTGAAATGTTATGCACTTATTTCTTAATCTCCTTTTAACTTGACTTTAGAAATGAATTATGAACTTGATTGCATTAATTCCCTTCTTGTTACCGTTTGGTGCTGTTGTTGTCAGGCTTCACACAGTTTCTTATTGTTTCTCTCTCCTTGTGTCACTTTTCCAAACAGAACTTTAACGATTGGCTTCAGGATATCTTTATGAAGAAACAACTGGTGAACCTGTGTGTCCATTATTATTTGCAGCGGGCTGGTCCTTGGTGCAGTGACACAATATTGCCACCAGGGGGCCGGGAATCATGCAGGTCCGAGTTCAACTACCACTTTCACCTGTGCTTTAATGTGAGTTGTACAAACTTGGGGTTGCCATTAAGCTCGCCATCCTCATACTTCAACATGGGTGTGCATCTCACTCAGGGGCACCAGGGGAACCAACATGCAGTACAATAGTTCCTACAATTTCCACAATGTCGTAATGACATATAAAATATGCTTAGTGCAAAACAAAATATGTTAACTAAAAGTATGACAGTAAAAAGGTGGTCTAGGGGTGGTCTAGCTTATCAGAAAGGGGCTTTTATCAGGCTAATAATGTTTACAGAATACTATAACTGTTGTGGAAGAGATCCAGAACTGAATAATAGCTAATAATTAAATGCAAAGTTGTGTATAAACACATAGTGATTGAAAAACAAGGTAAGTGGAAAAAAATATGCATTACGGGAATGACCCAGCACCCTAGACCTAATGCAGCATAACTAAAGGAGGATTAAAGTTTTTGGTGGGTTCTTAAACATTTTAAGAGAAGAGGCCTTCCCATAATGGGTCTAATAATAGCTTAAAATGCAGTGTTAATGCTGTCATTTTCAGTATCTACATGGATGTTAAAATCTCAGACAATAAATATTTTATCTGAGCAAAGCCCTGAATCAGATTAAAAATAGTCTGAAAATCAGACAGAAACTCTGTAAGGAATAGGTGGTCAACAGATAACAAGGAATAAAACTGATTTTTGAGTTTACCTGTTAGCAAGCAAGGAAAAAAATATTTAAATAGCACTTCCAGACAACTACAAAGTCCTGTACACTTAACATGACAAAAAAAACCCAAAAAAAACCCAAAACAAAAAAAACCCCCGACAATTAAATTAAAAAAAAAAAAAAAATCTTAAATTAAAAACATTGATTAGATTAAAATAATAAAATCAGCACATTAGATTAAATCAAAGCAGTAAAATCAGGGTCAAACTGTGTCAAGGAATAAAAATTGGTTTTAAGATGTGTTTTAAAAATGGACAATGAAGGAGCCTCTCTAATGTGCAGGGGCAGGTTATTCCAGAGGTTAGGACCAGCAATAGAGAAGATCCTGTCCCCTCTGAGCTTCCTCTTGGACCTGGGTAGCTCCAAGAGCAGATTGTCACCTGACCTGAGAAACCTGGGGGTGAATAAGGATGAAGAAGCTCGGAGAGTTAAGGTGGGTCAAGACTGTTTAGTGTTTAAAAACAAACATTAGACTTTTAAAATGAACTCTAAGATATACAGGCAGCCAATGGAGTAAAGCCAGGATGGGCTTTCTTCCTTTTCTTTCTTTTGCGAGTTCTGGTTAAAAGTCGTGCAGCAGCATTTTGGACTAGCTGTAGAAGATTGAGAAGACACTGACTAACTCCAAAAATACAGAGCATTACAGCAATCCTAACGAGATTAAATAAAAGCATAGATTACTGTTTCAGAATCCAGCCTGGATAAAATTGGTCTTACCTTTGTCAAGCGCCTTAAATGATAAAAAGTGGACTTGACAGTAGCCCTAATTTTTGTGTCCAATATAAAATCACTGTCCACTTTAGAACCCAAGTTAGTAACAACAAGTTGTAATTACTCTGCCAGGAGTCCCGAATCAATGGAGGAAGAACCATAAGGTCTTCTAGGACCAAACACGATCACCTCTGTTTTGCTTGAAGGGGTTTAATAGAGAAAGATCTTTCTGCTTCCGAGGCAGATAAATCTGACAGTTGTCGGCATAACAGTAGAAGCACATTCCATGCTCTCTAAGGTTTGCTCTCAATGGCTGTAAATACAATGAAAAACGCAGATGCCCTAGAATTGAGCCCTGCGGGACCCCAAACTGAAGAGCAGCAGAAAAGGACTCCTACCCCAAATTTTTAGTGGTAACTACCACTAAAAATTCTATCAGACAGATAAGACCTAAGCCAGTTCAATGCTGGTGATGGTGTAAATGAGACAGTAAAATGTTCTATCTCTATTCAGCTCTACGATACTCCCTCCTCACAGCCCAAGTGGTGTCATTAAACCAAGGCTAAGTTTCAGTCTTAGGCTACCCAGTTTTTAATGGTGCCACAGATTTCAGGATAGTTTGGCAGGAAGATTTAAACCAGGAGTTGAGGACCTCTGCGTCCAAGGGAGTGAGATCAGCGGGGACAGAAAGCTGGCTAAAGGCAGAGAACTGTGTTTAAGGGTTAATGATCTGGCAGTGGCGAATGGTAGCGCTGGTTTGAACTACAGTGTGCGAAAACATAGCATCAA